GCTAACTTAATATAAGCCTGACACAAGTATTTTGTTGACATATTGGGCTTACATTTTGTCAGCAGTTTTAAATTAAAGTGATTTGTCCTGAATCCGTTAATCCTCAATAGTGATGTCTTACCTGTCTCTATTACCTTTCTCTTACTGCCTTTTACCTACAGGTTTCTTCGTTGTTCTCCTTTTGATGAGTTTAAGGTGTGGAAGAACCAAGTTGATAATAACACAAGAAAAGGAGGAGAGAGATTGATGATTTTAACCAAGAGTCTCTTACTACGAAGAACTAAAGATCAGCTTGATTCATCTGGCAAGCCTTTAGTAATAACATCTCTCCATTTATTTTTGCCATTCTTCATTCCTTAATAAATCACAGAATTATAGTTTTTCTTGCCCAAATGTGAAAATAGAGTATATTGCTTTTTAATTAATTAGATAAATTTCATTTAAAACTCAAATATTTTCTATTTATACAATTCCATATATTTAAAAAACCCAGAATGTTACTTGAATATTGGTGACAAACAGCAGCTCTGTATATCAGTGTAGCTAAAAAGAAGTAGGACAAAATCACATATGCTCTCCATTCCTCACTCAGCATTTTTGCCCAGCATCAACCACATCTTCCCCATAGCAGTAAAAGTTTAATTTAAAAAATGCAATATTTGAAAACAAGATGTTTTCATTGTTTGCTTCTGCCAAGCAGAGATTTTAAATTTTGTACTATGTGCTCCTGGTCTCCAAGTTTTATTATACTTGACTATTGATAGGATTTTGAGAAAAAAAATTGGTAAGGCAACAGACTTTTGAATCATTTCTGCACAACACTGTTGTTTTGTTACTTAGATAAATCTATGTTTAAGATGTTAAATATTCTGCAAAATTTCCTTATTGCCAGTATTTTGTTCACATAGCATCTGTACAGTTCTTGGCCTGGGAGTGAATGAAAAATGTGTCGTCTGAATTTTTCATAGGACAAAACAGTATTTTACCTTATTAATTTTGAGTACCTCAATTGTACTAATCATGTTGGTACAGTCTTTAAAATTGTTCTGGTTCTTCCTTCCCTTTAGATATCTCTGCCTCAACGTTGTGTTCAGGTGCACAGATTGAAACTCTCTGAAGATGAACAGTCAGTTTATGATGTACTTTTCAAACGATCAAGGTGTGATGCCTGTAAGGGCATAAATTTATAAATGTATCTGCAAACTTAGTTTCAGTGATTAGCTCTATTTTGAGACTACAGTTAACAGTGTTCCTTCTTTCTTGTGAGAAGCATTTCTTGCTCTGTTTTCTTTCTGATGTGAGTTCTGTATTTCCATTTGTTTAAAAGCACAGAGAAATCAGTTGTCTGCATGGCAGAGTTACCACCTCAGTGACACATTGCCACAAAAGATTGATGTTTAGATGTATGGATATAGTGAAGATCAACAATCTGTGTTTGTTTGTCTTGGGTTTGTATAAAAACAGGGAAAGAGACCTGTATTCACGTTGCTTTGTTATACTTTCTTGATGTTTAGGTCAACACTGCAGTCTTTTCTCAAACATCAGGAAACTTCGTATACAGGCTATTCTGGAGACAACCCATTTGATATAGGTAAGGTGTTAAATTTCTCCTGTACGCTGTGTAGAAAGGTGTTGAAAGGAATCTGATCAGGCTGTTCAACATTTTTGTTGCTGTTTTTGTAACCTTGTTAGGAAGGAAACTTATGAATAGGAAACCTAATTTTCCTATCCACTGGTTTGGTCTTCCACCCTCAAATTGTAATGATAGCTTTCAGAAATCAGATTGCACACTTCTGAAATAAATTCTGTTTTTAGCCTGAGAGTTTTGTCTCTGATACATCTTTGATAGGAGCACAGCAGTTTAAAGTGTGTCAGCAGGATTCCTCAGGAAAGATGGTGAAATGCAGCCCTCCCGTCTCCACCACTATTCACATCCTGTCCCTCTTGCTGAGGCTTCGTCAGTGCTGCTGCCATCTTTCTTTGCTGAAAGTGGTAACTATGGCAGGCTTACAATTATTCATCTCTTCTGATGTTTGAGTTCAAAAATTGTAGATCCTTGGCAATATCCTTTTTCTTTCAGGCTGTTGACCAGGCTAACATGAATAGCGAAGGCATCTCTTTGTCAATGGAAGAACAACTCAGTGCTTTAACTCTGTCTGAACCTGATAGCAGTGATACACTCTCAATGGTGAATCTCTTTGGTACAGCTTTTGGTGCTGATCTTTTTGAAATGACCAAGCAGAGCACCAAGGTAGGAAGACAGCGGCGGTCCTTTCAAGAGAATCCCAGATTTAGTGTCATTTTTAACTAAAATAAGGAGAGTAAAAGGATTATTTATATATATTTATCAACATGGAGACAGACCCTCACTACATTCCTATGTTGTTAAAGAACTTCTTCATGGGAAGAGATTTGAGTCTTATCACAGTAGTTTTGACTCCATCCTCTGCATCAGCACCAATTCTTCATTTCAGACTCCTGATCGCCATCTTAATGGCCAATCTCCAAGGAATATTACTTTAATTTCTTTGAATAGAATTTGTGCAGTTAGGAGTCTTCATCAGCTCCTGATTGTGCAGAACATTGTATTCACCTGAGTAGGAGCTAAAGCGTTTGTGCATGCTTGTATACATACATAAATATACATGTATTATTATAGCTAGGTTGGCTTCAGAGGCCTCTCTAATTACAATAGAGAATGTAAGGTTGGCTGAAGTACAGGTAGAAAAGTGAGTAGTTCTCCTGAGAAACCCATTTTCCAGAACAGCTTGCATTCAAATTGATGATTGCAATTATGCAGTTTTAAGACTTAATTACTTATTTAGCTTGTTTTCCTTTCCCCTCCCATTTCTTTCTTGGTACCTTTTAAAATTAGTATACATAATGGAGAAATTGTCTTATTTCCTAATGAATTTATTTAAGCTCAGCAAGTCTTTTCAGATAACAGTAAAATAAAAATGCTTTAAAACAATAAAGCTTTTGAGCTTTAAATGCGGTGGAACTTATTCTAACTGAACAGGTTTAATGTTGGGCAGGCTCACTGTTATGTGTTCTTTCCACTCTCATCCTTTTAGATTTCCCATCTGTTAGAAGAACTGAAGAGAATTCAAAATCATTCTCAAAAATGGTGAGTATAGCTATAGTAAGGATTGTTGTGTCAAGCCATCTGAGCACAGAGCCCCAGTTACCCTCCTTTCTAGTAGCTTTGCTGGGCCCAACTGAACATTGCTGTCTTTTTTTCTCCCTCTGCTGATGAGGCTTGTTTAGCCTGACTCTACATGAGGCAGCTCCTAGCCATGCTCGTCCTTTTCTAAATTGTCCCTGCCTTCTTGCAATGCTTTGGAAGGCTTTGCAAGAAGGCCCTACCTGCCCCTTTCCAAACCATATGGGCAATTTCATAGATAGATTCCGACAAACAAAGTCAATGGAAAAGCTATCAATAAAACCTCAAGTTTTAATAAGGTGGTATCTCACTTAATGACCACAGCGGAAGTGAAATCATGGTCATGTAATGTCTCACCTAATGAGCACATGACTTAGTAACAGAGTTGTCCATCCCAGTTGTGGTTGTTAAGCAAAGGCTAGCTGTAGAATAACATACAGATATTTTCCTGAAGAGATTCATGTGTGGTATTCCAAATGTTTTTGAATGTTAATATGTAATAAACATTTTAATTGTAATTTTATTAAAAAAATACAATAACAAAAATAAAACAAAAAATGATAAATAATGGAAAGTATAGAAAAGAAAAAAATTAAAGAGAAGAAATGGGCGGGGCTTCGGCAACATTCGCTGTGTGTCTTATACACTTTTATTGGAGGGGGGGTCTTATAATGTGAAAAATACAGTATTTCAAATCCATCTGGACATTCCATTTTAATGTTCCAAAATCAAAGTTCTAATCACCCTTTTGTTGTTTATTAAAAAAAACTTACATTCTTAAACTTGTATTTAAAATGTCTTTCTCTAACATCCAAGCAAACTCAGTGGTATAGTTAAAAACCTATTGATCCAAAGGTTCGTAATAGCTAAAAAATAGTTAATAAGCAATTTCTGAAAGTGATTAGAAAAGAAAGAACCCAATGTCCTTTTGAAAGTATCAGCTATGAGCAAGCTGCCTATTCCCTTGACTTCTTGAACTCTCAACCCACCAGAAACCAAGTCATACACTGTGTGGAGCATTTACGGATGATCTCATATCCTCCCCTAATCCAGAGTGGAATTATCTACTTATTGACTCTTCATTCCATCACAATTCTCAAATCTCTCTCTCTCTCTGTGTATTGTTACACCAGTTATGCTAGATTGTCTAGCATTGTGTGAATATTGAAGAAGATGGGTGAACTTGTTGCTGAAACATAAGGTTTGAACCAGAAACAAGGTTATATTTGCTTTGCTTTTGTACCTTTGTAGTGTTGTTGTATCTCAGTGGACAAGTATGCTAAAAACTGTGGCAATGCATCTTGACATGCTTGGCCTGAAACATGCCACAGTGGATGGTTCAGTGAACCCGAAACAGAGGATGGATATCGTTGAAGAATTCAATAATAATCCTAAAGGAACCAAGGTATGAAAAAAGAGTTCAAATGTAATTATTTTTCAATGCTGCTGTTTCAGAAAAACTATTTCTAACTTCTCGATACACACCTTAATGTGTTGATTTATACATCATTAAGGCAAAGAAAAATCCCTCCCCCCGGTAACTTAGTGAACTTTGTGGGAATTTTGCTTTATATCTTCCCCATCTGGCCCACCAGATGTGTTGGACTACAACTCCCAATACTTCCAGTCATCATAGTCAAATTATGATGTATATCTGGATGGCAGTATATATCAACCTTGAATATATAGTATATCAATAACTTGTGAAATAATAAACCAACTATCCTTCTTATTCTTCTCATAGGTGATATTGATATCACTTCTGGCTGGAGGTGTTGGCCTTAATCTGGTTGGAGGAAACCACCTCTTCCTTCTAGATATGCACTGGTAAGATATAGCAATTTTGTTATCTCTATGTTAGAAAAAAAAATATGTTGTTCCCAGTTACAGTCTTTTAATCTTATTAAAAGAATTGCATTATTAATTTAGGTTCCCAAATTATGTCCTTAATTCTTTTTGTCATTTGCCATTCAAAATAACATATCTATACTTGTTGGCTGTTAATGAAATAAATCTAACATCTCCCTATATTCGCCAATTACTTTCTGAATTATTATATTTTCATCCTGCCTTATTTTATATATATGTGTGTTCAACTGAAGATGGCAAACATACATAAAACTACTATATTCCCTACTATAACATCCTGTGAGGTGGGTTGGCTGAGAGTGAGTGATTGGCTAAAGCCATCCAAGTGGTTTTCATCCCCAAGAAAGCTTAGAGTTTTCTATGCCAGCACCTTAACTACTATATGGTGGTGGCGAATTCTGACTGCTGGCTACCAGCAGTTGGGCAATTCGATTCTCACCTGCTCAAGGCTGACTCAGCCTCCATCCTTCCACGGTCGGTAAACTGAGGACCCAAATTGTTGGGGGCAATATGTTGACTCTGTAAATCGCTTAGAGAAGGCTGTAAAGCACTCTGAAGCAGTATATAAGTCTAAGTGCTATTGCTATTGCTATATCATCTGGATTTTCAATTATCTTTTAAGTGCTGCCCCAGGTGATGAGCTGTGAGTGGCTACTCTTATCCATTACTCTTTCCATATTGCATATTCATTGTGTTGAACAAGATTCTAAGTGTGCAATAGAACAAACAGAGGCAGGTGAATAGATACTGGGGGAAATGAGGGATGGTATTACTGATTCTTCCAAGGAAAAGATGGATCTAACAAGGTAGAAAGGGAAATCTATTGCTTGCTATTTGGCTCTGAAGTTAATTTGTGTGAGAAATGTTTTCACTTTTTTCCTATTGGTCATAAGTGCTTTGTTACTTTTCTCTTAAATATCAGGAATCCAGCGCTAGAAGACCAAGCCTGTGACCGCATTTACCGGATGGGGCAGCAGAAGGATGTTAAGATCCATAGGTAGTGCTTCACAAAATGTCTTGCACCGTTGCTATAAGTCTTGTCAGAGAAATTGTGTCAAGAACTGAATAACAGAGCTGAAAATTGCATTATTTCAGTTTGACTACTGTATTTAAAGATTTGTAAGAATTTCTACTTGAGATTGTTCAACTCGTTCAGTCACTTGATCCAGTGAAGAATTACCACTTTGCTGAAAACAATCTGGTGGTGCTTCAGAATTTATAGGAAGGATGCTTTAAAAACTGACATAATTGTATATTGTGCTTGGGTTTAGGTTTGTCTGTGAAGGAACTGTGGAAGAAAAGATATCAGAGCTGCAAACCAAGAAAAAAGAATTAGCCCAGAAGGTGTTGTCAGGAAAAGGAGAGTCCTTCACCAAGCTCACTCTGGCTGATCTAAGACTTCTGTTTTGCATTTAGCTGCTCATTTTTTAAAAAATTTCTTCCAACGCACAGAATAAATGTGCATTTAAAAAGTGCACTGTTTTTTATTAATAAAATGTTTGAATATTATTATGCTACACCTCTTTTTATGTATAAATCATATTTCCACAAAAAGGACTTACTTATTTATTAAATGTAGGTATCACCTATAAAAGTGCAGCAGTAAAAGTAGATGGGTATAGAAACAAAATTAAAATAAGTGAAAAGGCAGGAAAACGGCCTTAGGGTGCCAACTATCCCCAAGGTTGCCCCCTGTGATCCCCCTGTGAGTTGGCAGAGCCAAGTCTTCAAACTCCTTTGAAAGGCCAGGAGACAGGGTTCCCACCTTACCTCCAGGAGGAGATAGTCCACAGGGTCGGGGAAACAGCAGAGAAATCTCTCTTCATATCTGCCAAATTCTTTAGCTGATTAGGTCTGTAACAGTGGTGATACTCAATTTTTTTTACTACCGGTTCTGTGGGCGTGGCTTGGGTGTGGCTTGGTTTGGTGGGCATGGCTTGGGTGTGGTGTGACTTGGGTGTGGCTTGGTTTGGTGGGCGTGGCTTGGTGGGCATGGCAGGGGAAGGATACTGTAAAATCTCCATTCCCTCCCCACTCCTAGGGGAAGGATATTGCAAAATCCCATTCCTTCCACACCCCACTAACCTGCTTTCCAGCTCCGTTCTCCTATGCAGGACAACAAAAGAAGACCCAGCCAATCAGCTTGGACTCAGGAGACAGAGAATAGATGGGGGTGGGGCCAACCAGAGGGGGTATTTAGTGGTTCTCCGAACTACTCAAAATTTCTGCTACCGGTTCTCCAGAACTGGTCAGAACTAGCTGAATACCACCTCTGGTCTGTAACATCTTCCCTGCCTGACCAAGTGGGAATGACTGATATGATGGGATAACATGGCCCTATGTCCTGTTGGCTTTAAAGGTAAGAACTCACACCTTGAACTGGAACCAGAAACAAACCAGCATCCAATGAAGCTCATGCAGCAAAGGTGTTACATGTGTCATTCTTGGGATAACCAAGATTGCTTTGCAACCACATTCTGCACCAACTGATGCTTCAAATATTCTTCAGGGTAGCCCCATGTAAAGCACATTGCAATGGTCATATGGAGATGACCAGACATGAGTGACTGATGGGTTTCCTGGTTCAGGAAGAGGCCTATCTGGCATGCCACAGTTTGGCAAAGGTCCTCTTTACCTCAACTACTGCCTACTCCTTGAGCAGGAGTCATGATTCCAGGAGGACTCCCAGATTATGCACCGGATCTACCTGAGCAACCAGGGGTGGGATACGACAGGGTTAACTAACGGTTCAGGATTTACGAGCTTCCCTGCATGCTGCGAGCCACGCACCTGTAAATCGTCATCAGCACTGTGTGCAGAGCAGCCTTTGAAACAGCCCTCTTTTCCTGCTTTTTTAACTGCAGCTGTGCCTCGTTCAGCAGCTGAAGTTGAAAAATCAGGAAATAAAGATCAGGTAAGAGCCCGGGTGGGCAGGTGCGCAAAAACATCAGCAGACATAAAACTGGTTCTGTCTGCTGCCCTTCAGAGCTACCAGTTCTACAGAGGTGGACAGAACCGGTAGGAACCCTCCCCTGTGACAAACCCCTGGATATAGAGGAGTCCACTACTCACAGCCACTGTCTCACCTGGGTTCAGCAGAAGACTTGTTCCCCATCCAGGCACCTGGTAACACATATTACATTCATATGCTACAACATACTTGGAGCTACTGCACCAGAAATTGAACTATTAAACTGATTTTAATGCAGTTGGATTTATTATATAATTGTACTTTCATTTTGCTGTTTTGTATTGGCTTTTACTGTAGCTCTGGTATGATTCTTAAATCTTCAGATTGTTTATACATTCCATAAATAAGCACATTGTGGATAGAAATGCAGAAAGATGGACATTTCTGCATGCAAATGTGGCTCAAATATTCTTCAATGTTCAGGTGAGGACTGGTCACCCTGATGTTGATAAGACTAGCAATTCTCAATAACAGTGAGTGCTTCTTCATTCAATTGTACTAGTTAATGATAGATCTAGAAGCTGTTGTATACATTCCTATGACAACTCCAGTTTCCCCTGTGTCTTGTCACAGATCCACAGAAAAATCAGCTGAGGGAATACAGAATAGCTGTCCAGTGTGGGGATTATCAGTACTTGACAAAAGAAGTCCAGTGAAGTAGTTTGGACATTTACTGAATAATCCAAGAAACCAATATGAGAAGCTGATATTAAGAATGGTGTGGTTCTTTAAATATGCTCCTGTGTCTTGGTGAAAAAAACAAAATTAAAGCTTATTTCATGTTATAATTGGATACATTACAAAATGTATAACTTTGGATAAATTCTAAAATGCATCACTTTAAAAAATTGAGTTTGCTATATTCTAAAGACGGTTCAGAATAGTTTAAAAAGTTAAAATATAGAGCAGTGTTTAATCTTAACATGTGGTCCAAGGACCTCAACTGGATTCCCCAAGATTCTCTGGAGTCCATAAAATCAAAATGATTGGCCTAGTTAATGTTGAAAAGTATTACAATATTAAAAATCAAACAATTGTGAGGAGCGATAGTGGCAGTTAATGCATTGATTTTAATTTTACATATAAATATAATACATACAAGCATTGGTTCTTCATAATTTTTAAAAATGGGAAAAGACCTGAGAGAAAAAATTCAAGAAACATTGATATAGAGGAACTTTTGCATCTGTTTTGAATTATGAATTTGTTGCTGATACAGCCACTGGTAACCTGTTTAATACTGAGAAGTAGACAAGACTACATGTAACTTATCTAAAAGTAATGGCCATAGGAACATTGGTAAACTTAACTCCCATATATTCAGTTTGAGACATGAGAAAATGTGCATGGTTATCCAAACAGCAATGGAAACATCAGTAGAATCCCTTGAATAAAATCTAAAATGTTTTGAACCTAAAGCAGAATTTTAAGTGTGAACGTCTCATCTGTTGTAATTCATTACTAATAACAATTTATAAAATAAGCACGAATGTCAGGATGGCCGAGCGGTCTAAGGCGCTGCGTTCAGGTCGCAGTCTCCCCTGGAGGCGTGGGTTCGAATCCCACTTCTGACAATATCTGCTTTTTATTTCCTGCCATGTTAATATAAGACTTCTTGCAAAGAGCCTGCTGTTTTGCAAATTGGAACGCGATCACTTAATGAAAAGGATACCCTTAGGTTAGCATATACAAACATGTAACAAGCGTTCCCTCTGTATCCCAAGAAGGGGGCCGCTGCACGCAGGAGACACGACGGTTTCACGTAAAGAACTGAGGCCCCCTTCCGCCGGTTTGGCGTCGCTTCGTTGAGTAAGATCAGAAGCGCTGGAAACCCGACAAATCTTTCGGAGGGCAACCTGCACGAGTCACAATTTTTTTTTTTTTTTTTTTTGCAAACGGGCCCTTGTGAATGCGTTTGCTTGAAAAACTTGCTGGTTGTTCCGCCTTCTAGTAGGCTCGGCTCTATTCTCTTTCATCTTGTGACTGCTCAAAATTTCTTGAAAAGAGTCTTACTCTGCAGAAGCTCAGGTGCCCTTTTGTACAATAACCTCAGACGATCTGTAGCACACCAAATGCCACGTCTAGAGAGGTGTGAGAACCCAATGTAGGAAAAGGGACAGTCAAAGGAGATGTTTAGTTTGATTCTGTTTAATTCTTAAAAACGCTGTAAATTCACTTTCGTTTTTGGAATTATATTAATAAACAGAGGTGCAATTTAAATAATCTGCTGAAAATCCAACAAATGGGAGAAATTAAATATATTGTAGTGGGTCAAACATAAATATTCCGCTTTACCTCATATTGTGTTTTGGATTTTTCTTCTGATGCTTTTATTGGGCTTCAGCTCATTCTTTCTGACCAAAAACCTTTTGCCCTACAATGCAAGAGTATGTTCTATGTGACACAGAACGTGTATGGCAATAAATACAATACAGCAGTTGAAAACTAAACCCTTGTTCACCTTGAGAGAGACATCATAGGCACCGCTGGGATTCGAACCCAGGATCTCCTGTTTACTAGACAGGCGCTTTAACCAGCTAAGCCACGGCACCTAACCTTGGCCGCAAATTCTTCCAGGAGACTCTCTAAAGAATAAAATCATTTTAATTTTTTTTTTTTAAATAATAGGTGAATACATTACCCAGGAAAAATCTATCCTGCAGCCTAGAGTAGCAAGTCTATCTTTATTTCCATATTTTGGTCAGGTGAACCCAACCACAATGCTATCACGAGCTGATCTCAAACAAACTTTATCTTTATGGTTGTCAGTAAAAAAAATAAATCTAGAGCACTGCTTTTTGTTATCATCTTTTCATATATTAAATAAAAAAGATTATGAACTGATTTTCCTAAACTCTTGTGTTCTCTTTAAGTACACTGACTCTTGCTAATGCATTCTCTGCAGATATAATATTGGCTGCATCACCCTTGTTAAACAAAATACAATGTCAAAATCCGGTTACATTTGTTTTTGGCTTTAAGGAGTGCCAAAGGAAAGAAAAATACAATATCGTTTCAAAGCACAGATAGTAAGTTCAGATACTGCCACTTTGTTCCTAATTTTAAGGTAAGATTGCTGAAAGAAGCTCCAACTTGCAAAAAATGAGTTAGTGAGCATATATGGAGAACATAAACAACCGGTGACAAAGTTAGACTCAAGAACACACATAAAGTAAAAACCTAACTTTTGCAATGTTTTAACTAATTTTACTTCAAAGATAGCCAATGTCCTGATATCCTGCCCTCAGTTCTATCTGGTTGCACTTTCCAGTCCTTTCAAAAGAGTTTATATTGTCTATATCTCCAATCAGAATTCATATGGCACACCTAGTGCATTTTGTTAGCCCTACACTGCAGTTGGTATATTGTACTGTGGTTTAAGACTCACTGCAGACTCAGTCAGCAATTCATGGTTAATAAAATTATGCTCAGGAATGGCAGGATATTTCAGTGTAAACAGAAAATCTGTGTTTCAGTTTCTGCAAGTTAGGGCAGAGCTAGGAACATCTCCAAAATCCAGACAACGTG